CTGATAATCCATTTCGATGTAACAAGATCTGATAATCCATTCCAATATAACAAATATCTGACAACCTACTTTACTTGTCTTGATAAACAACACACCTGATCAAAGTAAGTAGTACCCAGCAAATATTATAATCAGATTAATTGTTTTTTTTTTCTTCTATTAGGAGGAAGGGGGGGAGGGGATAGATAAGAGGGTGAATAACCGGAATTCTGAAATTCCAATCCCAATCCCAATCCAACTAACCCCATATCATCTATCATCTCTCCCCCTGCCCCGACCCACCAAAAAAAAAAAAGAAAAAAAATTCCCGAAATTGGAGTGGGAAGAAAATATGACCACCGCAGGGGTCGAACCTGCAATCTCCTGATTACAACCGAATAGCTCGAAATATCATCGTAGTCAGACGCGATGCCATTTCGCCAGGCGGCCCAGTAGTTGTTTGTCCTTGGAGGGGATGTTGAGTTGATGGTATGTAGTGATCATGTGGATTATATGGTGGGTACTATATGTGATTCTACGTTCAAAAGTTCGCAAGTTCAATCGTTCAATCGTTCAAAAGATCAAAAATTCGAGAAACCCTCGAAAGGGTACAGGAAGATGAAGATGGAGAGTGTTATTATTATTATGAATTGGTCCGGATATACCCTACCTCCTTCCCTAAGCACCTCTCTAAGTACCTCCCTTTCCTTCTCTCCCTCTAAGCACCCTCTCCTCCCTCCCCTTTCTAAGAACCCTCCATAACCTACATAATAACACACTTTTCATCCTCAGCTTTCGCACCCGATATCCCCATCTCTGCGAATGTCTGCGGACCAGTAGGTCTCGGTGGGGCTGTTGCTCCCGCAGGTGGTGGTGCTCCCACAGGGGTTCCCGGGCCACTATTACTACTAGTCGGGTTGGAGGTGGTGGAAACACCCCCCGAAACGACGATTCCGCCGCTGGGACCGCGTCGGGGAGGTGGTCTGCCACCACCGGGACCGGTGGACGGAGACCGGCTGTTGCTCCGACTGTCGCTACGCGGAGCGGATCCGGATCCGGGATCGACGAGGGTGTATCGGTTTGCTGTGGGGTATGCTTGGCCTGCGTTTGGTCCTCCGGGTTGACCACCTGGACGGGGGGTTGGGCGGAGGTTGGGGTTGGGGTTTGGGGTGAGAGGAGGAACTTGGGATTGATGAGAGGGAGGTTGTTGGGGATAGGCGGAAGCGGAAGCTGAAGGTGGACGGGAGATGGTGATACCTACTTGGTTTGGAGGAAGGGAGTTTGCGTGCTCGGTGTGGTATCTTCCGTGTGCTCCTTGTGGTGGTTGATAACTCCCTAAAGTATTCTTCCGAATCAGATCGACGACTTGTCGAGAATCTCTTCTCCTACTAGGACTTCCTTGTCCTTGGAATTGAGGCTGAGGCTGAGGCTGCCCGGCCAAATACCCATCCCTGACCATCTGCGCCTCACTCCTCTCCTTCGCCCTGGTGCGACTCCGCACAAGCTTGCTCTCTGTGATCTCATCGTGTTCGCTGCGGGAAAGCACTTGTGGGGCGGGCTGCGACAGCGCCGCCAATCTCTCCCCGGCATCGGTGTTCCCGTGTCTCTGGGCGAGAGAGTACCATCGGAGTGCTTCGTCGAGGTCAATGGCACCCCCGATACCGACTTCGCAATAGTACCCCATGGCGAATTCGGCGGAGGGGAGACCTTTGTGTGCGGCTTTGGAGGCAAAGATGCGGGCTAGTTGTTCGTCTTTGTCGAATCCACCGAGGGAAGTGGAGGGGGGACTAGACCCGTTTGGACCACCGATACGGGAACCGCATAGGAACCATTTGGATAAAGCCATGTCGGCTTCGGTTTCACCTTGTTGGCTGGCACGGGAATACCACTCCACGCTGAGGAGAGCGTCGAATTCGAATGGGGGAGTGGCGAATTCGTAGGCGTGGCCGAGCTTGTATTGGGCGGGGGAGAAGTGGAGGAAGGCGGAGTTGGTTAGGTGGGTGCGGGCGTCGAGGAGGAGACCGCGGGGACCGAGGTGGGAGAGGGAGGGAGGGAGGAGGTTGAGTTTATAGAAGAGTCCCGGGTCGATTTGGGACTGGGTGAATTCACTGAGGAGGAGGAGGGCGTAGACGTAGGCTGGTTGAGGGGTGTCGATGGTGGAGGCGAGAGCTGCGCGGTGGAGGAGGGGGAGAGCGGTGGAGGGGGACGGGGGGAGGGAGAGTTGGCCGAGGAGGTGGGCCATGCCGAGACGGTACATGCACCCTGCGACGCCGGCACGGACACCGCGTTCGAAACACTCTCTGGCGTGGGTGGTGTCCCCGAACCCTTCGTAGTCGCGTCCGATGCGGAACCAGGCTTTGCCGTAGCCTGCCCGTGCGGCGGTCTCAAAGTCGCGGAATGCGCTGCGGGGGTTCTTGGGGGTGTATTCGGGGAAAGCACCAGAGGCGAGGAGAGAGGCGCGGTGGTAGATTGATTCAGCGATGTATGGATTGGAGGGGGAGGGAGGGAGGGAAGCGATTTCGAGGATGAAGGGGATGGCGATGTTGGCGAGGTCGAGGAGGGCTTTGTCGGTGATGAGGACTGGTCCGTTTATTGGTTCACCAGGCGGTGAACCACTTGCTATTGCGTGGGCTCGTTCGATGAGGAAAAAGACGTCTCTGGACCAGGCGACTTTGATTGCTGGATCGCTTGTGGGAGTTGGGGTAGAGGAGGAGAGACTGGGGATTGTGGGCAGTGTTGCGGTCAACGACGACGACGACGACGACGAGGAAGGTGGTTGGGTGATGTGTTGAGATATCGTTGGAGATGGTGAGACCATCCTTTGTGGATGTTGTTGTTGTCCGTAGCCAGCATCAACAGGTCCACCGTATCCACCGTATCCACCGTAGTAACTTCTATGCGGGTTTGGGTTTGGAGTGGGATTCGGATATGGCAACGACGGATTCCATCCTTGCGACGGTGGTTGAGGCGATTGAGACACTCCTGGGATGTTGAATCCACCAGGGTTGTAGTGACCTCCAGGGTTGTTCAACGACGCTGGCACTGGCGACGACACACCACGCAGTGATTCGTCTAGATTACGTGCCATCTACCAGCCAACGACTGTGAGCAGAAGAATCAAAAGAAAAGTCAACTCACGTTAGCTGGTATCTCAGGATCTACTTTTTGTGCTCGAGGTGCGACGAGTGGGTCTTGGAGGTGTGGAGCGCTTCCTCCGTCGGAGGTTGTTAGAGTCGATGGCACTGTCGAAGATGATGGTGGTACTATATCTACTTTGTTTGGCAGCGATGGCGGTGCCGGTGGTGGTGGTACAGGAAAAGAACTCATGGATTTCGGGAAAAAAAAAAGCGGTGTGGGCAATAATATTAATAGATTATCTGATTCAGATATCGCGCCCGTGTTTCTTGTTAACTGGTTGGAATCGTTGAACGGATGTGTAGCAACCGCAAACATGTGTACCAAGTAGTATCCACTCCCAGCGCTGACATGCACAATAGATTAAATTACAGCTTTCCGCAGGCCTTTCCGCTCAGACATATTCAGCCCCCACGGTCCAGGTAGCGCTCCAGGGTTTCCCATTTACATACATAGCTTTCTCAAATCTCCAAATCCCCATCTTCATTGGCCGCCTGGCGAAATGGCATCGCGTCTGACTACGATGATATTTCGAGCTATTCGGTTGTAATCAGGAGATTGCAGGTTCGACCCCTGCGGTGGTCATATTTTCTTCCCACTCCAATTTCGGGAATTTTTTTTCTTTTTTTTTTTTGGTGGGTCGGGGCAGGGGGAGAGATGATAGATGATATGGGGTTAGTTGGATTGGGATTGGGATTGGAATTTCAGAATTCCGGTTATTCACCCTCTTATCTATCCCCTCCCCCCCTTCCTCCTAATAGAAGAAAAAAAAAACAATTAATCTGATTATAATATTTGCTGGGTACTACTTACTTTGATCAGGTGTGTTGTTTATCAAGACAAGTAAAGTAGGTTGTCAGATATTTGTTATATTGGAATGGATTATCAGATCTTGTTACATCGAAATGGATTATCAG